TACGCACGACACACACACACACACACACACACACACACACACACACACACACACACACACACACACACACACACACACACACACACACACACACACACACACACACACACACTGAAGCTCCAGAGACAGAGCAGTGACAGGGTGAAGCCCCCTGATTGGCTCCTGGTCCCGAGGTCTATGCAGGTGAAAACAGCTGACACTCAGACAGAGGAAAACTAGGGATGGCTTTCTTCAATAAAAAAAGAAGTGTAGATATTTATTATTTATTTATTCAGTTAAAATATTGAATATTTTGTATCCCCCCCAAAGCTAATAATTGTATATAATTCTGGATAACTTCAGAAAGGGACCTGAGAAAGGAGCTTGTGAGATCCACGTGTTTTAAAAAACAGAATATATATTAATATTATTATTAATTTATATATTATAGACGATAGTGGATAGTTACACCAACTGCTTATTTAATTGATTTAGTCTTTTAGGCTACTTTTATTTTTATAAATTTATTTAAATGCAGTAGGCGAACACCTGGTTTATTACACCTAAACAAAATATCATGCTTTTTATTCATTGATTAAACCAAAACTGAATCTTTAGACCTATCCTATAAATTGTGGACACATTGATACTTGATTTCTGGTTTCTGCTTTTCTAAGGTCACATTGTTCTGTTGTCTTACATTGCATTACATTTCATTTGGTTGAAGCTTTATCAAAAGCCACTTACAATAAGTGCAAAAACCATAGAGACTTAAAAGTGGGGTAGGTCATTTTGGAGAAACCAGCTCGAGTAATAACACATTTAATAATAATACATTTAATTTATATAGCGCTTCTCATCTGCCAAGACAAATCTCGAAGCGCTAGAATTTGAAAATACACAACCGGAAAAAATCTGCCACTTCCTCACAGAGCCCCTCCTCCAACACACACGAACGCGCACATGACCAATGAGGGCACGAGATAGTTTGTGCACAGATGGAAGGCTGACAGGCAGGTAGGCCATCCAGTTACTTTAGCCGGGCCGGCTCAGATGATTGGTCGAGCTTTTTACAGTACCACAGATGGGATATTTGTATGTATTTATTGACAAAGCATTTAATATATTCATTGCTATCGGGATGTTAAGAGCATTCCATGGAATATAACAACAAGTGTTTCTGAAGTGAATTACATACCCCACCTTTAAACTCAACAACTAAATTGCAGATATATTCACTTCAAGTGTTGGTGAATTAGTTACAAGGCCTAAATTCAGCAGAAGGGGTCGGATTAAATAAGTGTAAACTTCTTCCGACCCCTTTTCGGACGTGTAATTAGCTAAAGCTTTGTTTATTGATATCAGACAATGATACTACAGATTATTCAATTATTAATTAAATATTTCGTTTTGTTATTGCATTCATTTGTATAGTAGCTACTGTATCATGTCTGTATCATCTTTTGTTTCATTTGTATTTTCTTTGGTTTTACACGCTAAAAAAACTAAACTAAACTAAATTAACTTTTTAAAGTGCCATTTTGTTCGAGTAAAAACATCCTGTTGATATTTAACATGTTAGCTATGAGCTGCTACGTCTTCCCTCCACTTCCTCCTAGTTCCTAATAAAGATGCAGTTTGGATGATTTGAGGAAACAGATGATGGCGAGGACTTCATTATTCCCCGGCTCACGACCACTTGAGTGGAACACGATGTTCATAATTGCTGTCAGATTCAACTTGTGGCCGGGCGCTATGGAGAAAGTATGAGGAGCTGAAATTGAAGCGGTCTCCGGAGAGG